TGGATGCGTGTCTTCCGTTCAACAGCGACCTCACCGGTGAGTCACGGAACTACAGTCATGTGACTGTGGGAGGGGCGCTTCAGATTTGAGCCAGAGGAACTTTGCCTCTTCCTAAATACGTCATTATATATTATATATGATGTATTATTTATAGGAATATACCTTTGGGTATACATAAGACCCGGTGAAAAGTTCCCAGGTTTCTCTTGTTAAAGACTCAAATAATGTTCCATTTTTTTTTATTTTGATGTGCATTTTTTCCATACTAGTTAATGCGTGGGGGAAAATTGTGTTAAAAATTAATAAATGTGTTATGGGTTGACAAAGACATTCTAATATATGGCTAAAGTTTATCTTTACTGCTAAATATAAATTAATCTGCTCTTTACGCACAACTTATGTCTGGAAATGCATGCAACAGTGCATGTTTAACCTTATTGTCTTCAGGAAGACAAAATAGATAAATGACAACATTAATTGTCATTAACATTAAAAATGCTCACCAAATCAGCATATTAGTTTGATTTCTGAAGACTGGAGTAATGATGATGAAAATTCAGCTTTGCATCGCAGGAATTAATTACATTTTAAATTATATTCAAATAAAAAAAGTTATTTGAAATTGTAATAATATTTCACACACTGAAAAAAATGTTAAGTTATTTATTTTTCATTGGCTCAAGTTAAAAAATATAGATGTGAATCATTACCCTAAATTTTTTTAATTGGATGAATTAAAAATTTTTTTCAGTGCAATATTACCATTTTTACTGTATTTTTATTGAATAAATGCAGCCTTAGTGTGCATGAGAGACTATATAGGCTTATAAATTTGATAATACAAATGATAAATTGTGATTAAATTATATAAAATATAATTTCACAGGAGTCCAAACATACAGTGCTTTTCAGATTCTAGATATCTGGGTCTATATGTGACGAGGCCCGTGCCTCATTAATTTTCACTGTATTGCAAAGAGTGCTGTGATTTCATTTATTACATATACACATTACACAAAGTTTAGATAAGGCTCTTGTTAATGTGTGTTGTATGACATCTTTACAATGTAGTCTCTCCAACCAATCAAATCTATGGTTTTTAGAGTCAAAGCAGAGAGATACATTATCTAAATAGTCTGCCGGGTCATGAACAAACGTCTCAAAGTGATGAATGAAGATATCATTCCTTTACAAGTGATGAACATTAGTGAGGTTATTTAAAGTTTTTTTATGCCCCGGCATATACCAAAACTAACTGTTTGAGATTTTTCTTCAATTTAAACTTTACAGAATGTTTATGGAAAATGGTCACATGTAAATTTACAGTGTAATCCACCTGTGATGCCATTTCACCATGTGATCAACAAGATGGCATCTTATAGGAAAATATCTGTTGATGTTATTTATACTGGTTGAATTAAGATTTTAAAATGATGATGAGCTTTATCTAATAAATGAGAGACATTCAAATGAACAAGTTTGGTTGTAGCAAACCTCACCGCAGCACTCCACTGAGCCTACACAAACATGAAGTACATCAAAAAATATGACTGATAGAGTTAATATCTACAAATAATTAAATAGCCAAATAGATCGTAAAAGTTGGTGACTGAGGTGTTCCATACATTAAACACATGCTCCTACCACTATAAATCTGGTCATAAATAAACTGCCAGCAGAGAATGTTAAGCCATACATCTATTTAAGAACAATACTAAAGATGAGTTTTATATTAATGGTTGAGTTTTCAATGGCTGACACTGAGTTCAGAGTGCCTAACAGATGAAATAATACTCATGAAGATATAGACTAACATAATAATGCTGTTTAATTATAGCAAATATAAGCTGAAATCAAATAAACACTTATTTAACATTAAATATTTTATTTATAGCGTGTAATAATTTATGTATGTAGGTGTGTGTGTGTGTGTGTGTATATATACACACACACACACACACACACACATATTAAACTGACTATAAAACTTAATAATATGACAAATAGTGGGAATGATAATTGGCTGATGCCAATAATCTCAAAATGGCCAAATATTGGCCAGTTAATCATCTTGGATGATATACCAATCAATACTGTATCATAATACTAAAGCATATTGGTCAGCAAAATAAATAAATACAATTAAGTGCATATACAGAGGGGTCTAACATTCTGAGACCACATTTTTTGAAAGAAATTTTCTCCGTTTAAATCTGAAAATACTTTAAGCAGGACATTTTAGGATTTAGGGCATAGAAAAGTTGTGATGTAAAATTAACAAGGAATATTCTCTATTTCAGTGACATTGATCATGTGACTGTTAGTACAGACTTTGTTTTTTGCTTCCATTCTCAAAAATCTAAGAAAAAATTGCGTGACAAACTCAATATTGTGTGGTGTGATACATAAACACGCAATTGCAAGAAAAAGTCAGAATTGTCAGATGAATTGTGACATGCAATTCAAAAATTCTGAAATAAAAAGTCAGAATTTTGAGATTTAAATACAGAATTCTGAAAAAAAAAAAAAGTTAGAACTGCAAAATATAAACGTGGAATTGTGGGTAAAAAAGTCAGAATTCTGAGTTTATACATGTATCTTACAATTCTGACTTTTTTCTCAAGTTGTCCAAATTATGGGATAAAAAGTCACAATTACCTTTTTGATTTTTTATTCTATGGCAGAAACAAGCTTCCATAAGATGCTCTTTAGAACATCTCAAATTAGGTTGGAGAAAATGATCTTCAGATCACTTTTGTTCATGCAGCTCAAGTGCTGCTGTCACTAAAGCAAAAGGGGCACAAATCAAATCTGATAATATCATTTGCAATTTGAATTTTTTAATAGAAATTAATGCAAAATAAAAGCATTGTACCACGTGATCTCACGCCTCTGGACCCGACTGTAGGTCAGGTATGAGTTTCTGAGCCAGCACTAGAATGTTAAACATGCGGTCATTAAGCTGTCTGTGTTGCAGATTACTGCATTTCAATTGCACCAGGCTGTTCTATTGTCTTTTGTTGGCTGGCTTCGTCTCTCAAAGTGGCTTTGCAGTCAACCTTTCACTTATTCGAGCAAATATGTTCAACGTGTGGACTAAATATCTAACATCAATGTTTAAGTTGCACCTTGCAACCTAACCCACTTCATGCATTTCACTAAGAACAGGAAGTGTGCTTAGATAATTAACAACTTCATGTTAATTACAAAATAAATAAAAAAAAGAAACAACACATATTTGTGTCAGTAATATTATGCATTTATTAACCACGCCATCGTAAAACAAAAAGTGACGGGTTAGGATCATGAGACTATCAATGCACTTCAATGTAATGAACAGCTGCTGCTACGCTAACAAGCTACTCTGCCTGCATGATCTTTCAACATAATGGCAAAATTAAACATAAAACAATGGTTTCCCATAGGCTCGGTCCTGCCAGAGCAAAACCAAACCTCTCTATTAAGAAATCACATTAATAGTTTAAAGACAGCGCCTGATATAAGCTCGACTCACCCGTGAACTCAACAGTAAATCCAACCAAACCAGCTGCGCTTCTCGGTTCGCACCCCACCCTCCAGCGCCTCAGAGAACCATCAGCACCGCCGCCTATCCACCCGCTGCCGCTGATTGGCCGACACGCATTCATTCTTCCCGCTGATTGGTTGACGGATAGAAAGGCCGTTGTTTTATTCATTGGTTCCTCCTTCCGTTCACATGAATGGCTGACGGAAGAAACGGATGTTGTCTTTCTCGACCAATGGAAATGCAGTGCGCTGCTCGTTGAATAGTGGACTGTGGTTTCCTGATGTTTCATGTTTTTATGTATCTAAGGAAATGAGTGATGCGTTTAATTATCATGACGGGAAACATGTTTGGATGATAGATAAAAGGCTAAATTTACATTTAGTCATTTAGCAGACGCTGTTATCCAAAGCGACTTATGAAGTCTCCAAGCATAACTAGGGGAGTACCATCCTCAGGAAAGTTTGAGAGCAGCACATCTAATTCTTCCATGAAGTTACCTAGTGGTCCTGGGGGTCGATAAACAACTATAAAATGGATTTTAAGAGGGTGGGTAATAGTGGCTGAATGTGATTTAGAAAAAGAATCTACTTTTGTTTCATTGTAAGGTTCCAGGTTCCTACATAATAGGGAGCAGACAGTCTAATAAATCAATATTTACAAAATAAAACAAATGGCGTTTTTGTCACTTTGTAGTAGTCACAGCATGTAGTAAAAATAATCACTTAAAGCCTATTTACATGCAAATGTAGACCTGACAGGGGTCTCATTCACAAGGTTATTATAAATAAAAGTAAAAGCATAAAAAACATTTTAGTTACTTGAAAAATAATAAATGTTAACTGAAATAAAATAAAATATGCACACACACACACGCACGCGCGCACACAAACTTATTTTTCAACCAGTTTCCAATTAAACATTTCTCATTTTCTTTTAGTTTCACTAAAGGTACTAAAATAACTAAAACTGAAATATAAATATATAAAAGCTACATAAACATATTAAAAACGATAACATTTAAAATTCTAAAAATAAAAACGTTAAATTACGAGTTAAATACTAAAATAATTATTTCATTATTAATAATTAGATTATTTATAATTAAAGTTGTGAGAACGTCCCAAATTATTAAATCAAATAATTTTTTTATAAATATTACGTTTTATTTTTTATGTCATTAATTAAATTTGATTAATTTACATTGAAGTTAATTTTATCATTTTAAATCCTGTGATTTTTGTTGTCCCATGGGAAAAAAAATTATTCAACAAGGACATCTAGTGGCCGTTGTGTATATTGCATCAACACATGACGATTCAAAATAGCATTGTGTGCAAAGTAATTTGAAATGAAAGATGAGTTTTAACCAACATGGAACAAACTCTAAAGACATGGAAAATATAGAGACAGATATAGATTTTATAAAATAACATTAAACATGACATTTGATGATACTTGTACAACATAATATTTTTTATTTTTATTTAGTCCCATGCAAAATCACTGAAAAGTGCAATGGTTGGCAGCAGGGTGCAGATGCTGCTTTTTGTTGTTGTTGTTGTAGTTCTGCTGTATAACTGTCTGTCCGTCTGGAGTAAACCGTGAGAAGAATGTGAGCGCTGCAGTGTGACAGTAGCATATCAAAGAAAACACATCAATGAAAGAGTCTGGAGATGGTCAAAGCCAAACCAGTCTTCCTTAACCCGTCTACTACAGACAGTCTTTACAAGGAATTATATTCACTGACAAAATCAAATCAAGCATGAAAATTCTCTTCTAGATCAACATATCTTACACCAAATAATGCTTTTTCAAAGGGCATCTTGTCGCTCCTTTATCAACATAACAGCACATTCAGTAGTGTCAGATGCTGTCTCATATATTTGTCTCAAAAATGTCTGTTTCATAAAACATTGCAAGTTGAATAATAGAGCATGGTAAATGTACTGTGTGCTCTTTGGAGTCAAATAATATCTTCCACTGAATGCAGAGGTACAAAGTTTTGGGTGAATTTCATGAAACCTGTCAAAAAACATGCAATAGACTAACATTCAAAGAAAAAAAGAATTTTGCTAAAAGAAACCAGAACAATGCAATATAATTTGCATGAAGAGAATAAATAATTAAATAATACTGAAATAATGAATATGTGTGTGTGTGTGTGTGTATATATATATATATATATATACAGTGGGTACGGAAAGTATTCAGACCCCCTTAAATTTTTCACTCTTTGTTATATTG